CAGTTGCTTTTATTATAGTACCATCATTCTTATGGAAACGTCATCTCGAAGAACTTCCAGATACGATGTAATTGATATAAATGTATTCATTGAACATGTTTGAGTTTTGACCCCACGCCTTTATAGCTATTACCATCACCGCTTGCTTTAGAAATGTTCTTACAACTGAGTCGCGTACTTCCTTTAAATTTAAGTGCATTCATGTAAACCTTTATTACCTGTGGGAACGAATATTACATTCTTAATGCCTTCTTGGTGTGGTGTATTAGCAATTGACCAAATTCACTGCATCGCGCATGCGTATTCTTACCGATAAATTGTTGGTTGTTGTGCACGGCGTTGACACCGGGTATTGATTGATGCGATTACATTTTATGATTATTCTTATAATGCTATTACTGTGTATAAAAACTTACTATGGATGAAACGGACGGAATTCAGCTTGGTTCGTATTTTTCACAGATTATTTCCCGTGTTAATGTTTGGTGTTTATACAGGAATCTTGCTTGAGAAATGTAAACTGAAACAGTGGAAATGCATAACACGCTTCTTTTAGTTACTTGTCTTTGCCGATATCCTATTTCCTCGCAAGTTACTGAACTATATTCAGCCTTTTTTAGTCTTGTGGATAAACAACAGCCTTGGCAAATGGCGAAGCCTTGTCACCACAATATTTAAGGGAATCCCACCCCTAGTGTTATTGTAAGATTTTTTTGCTTTATTTTTATGATGAGGCCTGCATGTGTGCTGCTAATTTCTATGTCTGTTGATCAAGAAGCCTGTATTGGAACTGCTCTCGTCTTGATATTTCCAACTCTAGAAGTAGGACGGTTATGAATCTACGACGTAGATTCATAACCGTCCTCGTGATTGCACTACCTTATTCATGTCTTGAGTAAAAAAATTGTCAGTAGATCAGTCCGAAGTGTCACCGACAGTGCAGTTTCATTGGCGAATAGTGTCCTCTTTGTTTTCTATTTCTTCCTTCTTCTTTGTCTTTTTGCTCTCACTTATTTCGAAGTGTTTCTTGTGATACTGACAGTGCCCAGCAGACGGTTTTTTCAAGGGATTCCCTGGTATTATCGCCCCCGCTAGTGGCTTTCGCGGAAAGGTCATCACCAGGTGCACTTTCCTTCAGAAAGTTGTACGCTGAACTACATCTACAGGAGAGTATATATATTTATAAACTTATAGTTCATGTTCAGCAGTGCTTGTGCAATGATCGACCTTTAGAGAACGCATCCGCGGTGTGCCTATACTTACTTGTCAGTGTAATTTTGTGATGTAAGTAGATTGATTTTATTGTTATACTGTAATGGCTCTTGGACAGGAACCTAATATAGTGTCAGACTGTCGCATTCTTTCAATTTCTTCATTTAATGCTTTTATCCTCCACTCGTGCACTGTATCCTTTTTTCAGTTTTGACTCTGGCTGATCAAACCATCAGTTGGTTGGCCATTATCTAGTTTTTTTTCTCATGACTTCTCTGAGCAGATGAATTGCTCTGTAGGACGACCATTACCATAGGTACTTGACTTTACGATACTAGCGGGAATCGTCGTATTAGGTATATTATATATTACTTTTAAGGTTTTCTAATGAATGATTGCGGGTGAGTCGCGAGTACTGATAGTTCATACAGATTATTTATTATATAAATATAGGACCAATTAACGATTCCCTTTCAGCTACACGATCGAGGCAGACACCACTGATAGAAGTCATGTTCGACATTTTGTGGAAACAGGCGTGCCATTTGCTAATGCTGAGGCTTTTAATATTGTAAACTTTGATCGTTTCTATTGAAATACACTAAGCTTTGTTATTAATGAATTATTGCTCCCTCCGTGCACCGAACAACTGTAGGTACTGTTTTCTTCGACACCCATATATTGCTCTTCAAAGTTTCTCAAATCCACACCTCGTTTTGAGTAAAAATATTTTATGACAATCGATCACCGTAATAATGGACTGATGGGCAAGTGTTATAACAACAGCTGAAATGATATCAATTGCGAAACTTGGTGCTAGAAACGAATTGGTGATTTGCATTTTTGCTGGAGTGAAGCGAAGGCACTGCACCATCAGTGACCTCTCGCCAAGTTAGCGTTCACCTGAGAGCGAATTCTCGGGAAACTGAACCATCTAAACGCGCTATAGAGACATGTTCTACTTTGAGCTAAAGGTATGACTGTGAAACGGCAATTTGCTCTTGTCCCATCAGTACCTGACCCTGCCCAGCTCCCGCTATGAGCACGTTACCGGTACCCAGCAAGTGACATGAGACTCAGGCGTTTTGAATCGTCCCATAGCATTGCTATTTGGTGACGGCGCCATTTGTTGTCCATGTCCACGAGAGGGCTCCAGTTTTGGGATGCACTATTCAACACCTTCCTCCAACGATGAGTCCATCTGCATCAAGGAACAAACAATTTGTAGTATCCAAAATATTTGTTTAGACATGTGGTGGCTGTCCCTTTACCATCTAGGGGGCAGATTCCTCATGCCGAAAATTACGCTGGTTTTTCAAGGAACCTAAGCTTAGGTTGAATTGCTAATGCAATCCCTGCATCCCAACGAAGGCTTGACAGGATTTTATATTTTTTATTCCTTTTGCAGCCATGTGGATGTGGAGATTGACCAATGATAACTAAGATCTTTTAAGAGTATAATGTCATGGCGGGTCGCTTACGGAAATTGTATTTTGTCATAAAATATTTTAGTTCTCCATACCTGCGCTCTCACTCTACCACCACCACCACAACACTGGCTTACGCTGCGCGAACACAATACCATTATCTGCAAGAGAAACGATTCTAGTGACATTTTTACTTGCCACCGCAATCCGTGAGTATTATTAGCAATGAGCCGTAGACCCTTGCTGTGTAGGAAGCCTGTCCTGTCACACGACTTCCCTAATTTTTAAACGCTCTTCTTGGTTCTGTCGACTTTGTTTTATTGCTCCTGAGTCCTTCGAGTGTACACTTCTGCATGGACTCGGTCTTACATGAACTGACGAGCAATCTTGCAATACATGTCACGGCTCAGATTTTATCATTATTATAAGGTTTACTGACCCCCCGCCCCCGCCCATGGGTAGACAGACATGCCGCGGTTCTGCGAGTGTTGTAACCTGTGATGACCATCTGTTAGCGGTGCGATTATGGTACATGTGTTCTTTATTATGGCTTGCTTGCGAAACTTGTTTATTTACAGCTGTTAAAGATTGTGAAAATGACTGCCTGCGGCACTTATGGTGGAGCAATACCATCATGCTTATATTCTAAAACTGCCTCAACTCGTTGTATTGAGTTGAGAATGTAATCTTTGAAGTTTGCTGCAATTAACCGGAGGTGGGGTGTTGAATTTCTTCTACGACTAAGAAGGGTCGTGTTATTTTTTACACTTACTGAAGCTTGCAGTTTAATTTTTAGTCTATTTATTATCATGGCTTATGTGGAAGATACCCATCCTCACCGAGTCTTATCCTTTAAATGTTCGCCTGTTTGGTGGTTTAAGGATGCAAGCTTCGTGAGACGAAACTAATCTTTGCACGGTGTGAGGGGAGGCATGTATAACGACTCATTTGTGGAAGCAAGTTGAATGTCACTAGTGTTCATTTAGGCGCATAGGTGATCGTGTATATCTACACTATAACCCACCATCAGTACTATTACTGCTATCGCCGCCACCACGACAACCAATTTACACTTCTATCAACTATCAACATACTGCACTATTTCCAATTCCACCTACTCTTTCACTTACATTACGTACTATACCGCTGTAGTAGTCTAATTGGTCATAGTATGGATCCTGTCACGATTATTTCAACCCTCGATTATTTTGTTCAAATTATCGTACCTCTAGTTGCTGTGAGATACTTAGATGTGCACTGAAATATGGTATTGGTTATTAACAGGACGAAACCTTGCCCCAGTTGTACATGATTATTGTTATCTTTATCTACAGACATAATGATCCTTTCTACCATCTATTTGTGCCTGTAAGTCTTGATGAAAATTTCATACTCTATTTGATGAATTTTTTCAGCCCATCTTGCAAACAGGATCGCGTTCTACTAATATTTTGGTGAATGATAATGCGTTAAGTTCGTTTGGTGGAGCTGGTTATGGTTATTAACAAACTTGCTTTCAAAGCGGCTTATTTAGCTTAATCAAATGAACTGACAGCATTCACATCCACACCCTAACGTCTTGAACGCGATCAGGCTTGTGCGGTGTGCTGTAGGATTGATTGGACCGAGTATGAAATGAATGACGCTGTGTATAGAGCATTGTCCATATATTCTGCTTATAACCAGCCTCTCAAGACTACCGAAGTGCCCGCAGCTCTCCTTCTCCTACAACCACCATCACCACTCAATGCGTCGTCGCCGCGCAGACCGAACTTTACGAACCGACTTGACGCCACCCTCCTGACTTCTCGTTTTTGATTCGTTGCTTCCTACAAGATTTTCTCCTGATTTCTATGAAGTGATACCGTGTGCGCTAATTACTTGGAAAAAACTGTCCCTTAATTTTGTAATGAGACCTGCCATCGTGCGTGTACATAACTGTCTGGAGATATCGTGCCTCTCAGAAAAAAAAACAGTGTTGCGCTCGGGATTAAGTTTCAAAATGCATGCAGACACTCGTTTATTTGCTTAAATTGTAAATACTTGTACTGAGGGTTCAGCGTGTCTATTTGCTGTTCGATCACCTTGGTTACACGTTTGATTTTCTAACCAAAACTTTCATTCCTGGTTCAGGTTTTTATATATTTGAGCGATGTGCTTTGAATTTGATTCATTTAGCTTCTTAATAAAAGTGATAATGCTTTAAATTTCGGATATTTACAGATTAGTGGGTGGAGCAGCTATCTTCTTGTTTTTGTTTTGCACGAAACCCACCTGTCCTTAATTAGGTAACACCTAAAAAAAGAGCAAAGGTCAGTTGGAAGACTTGCGTTTGCTCCTTGGTCGGTTTTTCCTCCCCAGATGGAAGACGACAGCAACCACGGTAACGACGAGACGCGAGGCTTCATCTTGTCTACGCTGGCCGCCCAGCGTACCTCGCGGGTGTCGTGCGTGCTGTGCTTTCAAACGCTGCTCGTCTTCGACCGCTACCCACTCATCGACGGTACCTTCTTCCTTACGCCCATGCTGCACTCCAAAGCTGCTGTTGCCGTGAGTAGTTATATTTTTAAGCTTCACCTTGTTGCGTAATTTTCAGGGCGATAACTTGTTAATACCAACGTTACCACCCACCCTCCAGTTTGGCGACTTTGTTTTTCCCTGAGAACTTGTTAAGCTCAGAAACTGACATAGCTGTCTGTTTTATATTTTCAATTTAGCGTAACTTGTTAATATTGCTATAAACCACATTAATTCTAGCTTCCCGGTTCAATATAGTTTGAAGTAACATCGCTGTTGCCAACATCTTATATCTTTTAGACAATCAGACTGTAATACAACGTGGAGGAATAATACGATGTGTCGTACGTAACACAGGTTGATGTAGACGGGCGTCGTCAGTACCTGAGCGCCGTGTGCCTTGGCTGCCTCGAGGGCAGCACGTCTGAGGTGAAGTGCCTACGCTGCACTCGTCGCTGGAGTGGATCGCAGCTCATTCTTGGCACTATGTATTCCTATGACATCTTCGCTGCCACGCCTTGTTGCGTCGACCGACTAAGGGTGAGTTATTACCTAACAGTAATGACAAAATTATAACTATAAAGATTTTTGCTTCCCTCTACTAACTCCTTACTTTTACTTATAAATTATTTCATGGGGTATAAACGTAACCTCCAGCTTTTGGAAGCACTGAGCTACACAATGACCGACTTCATCAGCTAGATGAGTAAAATTACGTATGAATATCCTTTGGATGATGATGGCTATAATTAATTCAGTGTTCATTTATAAAAGAATTTTAACTGTTGCAAAAGTTTGACAATTCTGTCCATTAAACCATCACGGCTAAACTTTACGGAGCTGTGCAGCTATTAATTCCCCCTCCCCATTGAATACCGTTAATTTATCGACGAGCTCATGTGGGAGGAGAAACTTGGCAGCGCCTGAATGTTTGTAATAAATGGTTTAACTAAATCTATTGACTTACAGCTTTTTGTGTGTTGAACATAACTTAATAGCGTTCATTCTAAGATGTGCTTTAAGATCACTACGGTATGTCTGGACATTTAAATGGCATTCTTGACTCGCTTATGATAGCAACGTCTCAGGCAAATCGAGCTCTAATTGTCTGACCATGCAAATGGCAGTCCATTCTGTTACCAGTTTTTCTCGTGAACGTACAGGTTAAGACAGAGCGGTTCATATAGCTTTAGTGATTTTTCTTTGTAACTTGGACCGTACCTTGATGCGAAGGCATTGAAAAAATACACGTAAGAATTTAGTATGGAGAATTTGTATTTATATTTTCCAATACAAAATTTAATATGTCCTTGTAAAAACCATACTTTTTATAGGACTTCTCTCTCTGGAATTTTTTCCCATTTGTTGATGCCAATCTAATTATTTAGTCAATGACGAGCGATTTTATCGTCCGGCTTGAGGAACACGAATATGATATCGATTAACGTACTAATTTGTAATTTATTAGATTGCACCAGAAGCCTGGATAAATTGCTAGTTATCAAAAATTATTTAATATTTTCTCGTTTATCAAAAAAATGATCTAGTTTTTTTTCTCGTTTTCAGTGCTCGCGCTGCCAGTACCCAGTGATAGCACCTGATCAGAAATTGCACTACTTCAGCGAATATAGTCGGCAACGTGCGTGCCCTAACTGCGGTCTCTACGACCATCATTTTGTAAAGCCTTTATCAGCAGCCTTTTCAGTCGAGTCTGATCCCAGGAAGTTGTAGTACGTCGTGTTGTCTTCTCTGCTTTGCTATGTATGGTCCCTAGAACTTGCAAAATGCAAACAATATTGGTTTAGATGAAAGCTGATCTTTTACCGTCGATTAACGGTTAATGACTTTGGTCGACGAAAACAGTTGAGGTTACTATATAAGAAGAGTGCCGGAGACGGGCGCGGATGCTGACTTTTACAGGTCATCCGTTTTTGTCGTCGACAGGAAATCTTGAATTGTTTACTGCTGAAAAACTTGGAACTTCTGTAGGATTGTAAATTGAAGGAGTTGTAATCGTTGTGTTTGAAAATGGACTGTTGCATGCTGTTGGTTCTTAGATGAGATCCGATATATTTTCGGCCGCTAGTCCCACATTCTTGATCATTTAAAATAGGCATACGTAAAATCATTTTACGTTGGTTTTATCTCATTGAAAACTAACTGTTCTTCCTCCTGCAAGTTTAACGCGATGGCGAAATTTCTGATTGGATGTATTAATGGAACTAACAAATGGAAATAAATAATAACAAACTCTTTCGGAAATAACAAAACTTGATTCAATTCAAGTTCCATGCATATTGGTCCATTAATTGGCTGAATTTAGATATCTTTGTTTAAGGTTTATTCTTATTTTATAGTAAAATAAATCATTTCGCTTCTTAGTTTTATACATAATTTTTGAGTCGCTCCTATTGTTGAAGTTTCGTGTTATTGAGAGCAGGTATATTATTCTTCAGCGAATTAATTTCGGACAAATCAAATTTTTCTGTTTCCATACTGGAGAACTTTTCCAATTCGCTTTATATTATTAAAAATGGATAATTCTTCTCACAATTCGTTCAGTTTCTTATTGTTTTCTTCATATTTTGCTTTGGAATGTATTCTCTTGCATGTTTTTGATAGTTTATATACTTCTCTGACGAGTACAACTTCGAGTATAGTTTCATTGAAGACTGTTGTATTTTAAGCTTCTACTTCTGTCTACGTTTATTGACTACACGTGTGCTCCATTGCTTTGTCGGATTTTGCGTACGAAATTTGAATCTTGGTTCTTGGATGAATTGATCTAATTTGTTAGCCTTATTTGTTCAGCCATTTCAGAAATTTTTATGCTGACTAATTATCCGGAAAATTTTTCATGCAGCTACATAGGAATTATTCACTTCACGAAAGTTGCTTCATCATTTGCATCATGGTTGCCGTCGCGGACTTGACACGGTTGCGTCTGCCTTGTTTTATTTTTTACGTATTCCATCGAGTTCTTGAATTGGAGTTCTCTCGTTGATCTGAAATTAGTCCTTGTTCGGTTTTACAATTTTTCTATTGATTAACGGTATTTTCTCGAGTTTCGTCGTCGAATGTCTGTCTTATCAATGGGCAACGATGCGTCAATTATTGTCTATCGCCGTTTATTTCGTTTATAATCAACAAATAATTGCACCTAGGTTTCCATCCGAACACCATAGATTTTTTATTGCTGAATATGTGCTGAAAAATCCACGAGTTATAGAAACTGATCATCTCGATGTCTCGGCCAGAAGATGCGCAAGAAGCTGCGATTCAACTGTGGACAGTAAAGCTCTTGGAGAGCTGGCCCTGCTATGATCACAATGTCATGTAAGTCTTTCTCTCGCTCAGTTACTGAATTTTCAATTCATGTTTAATGATTAATTTCATTTTTTTTTTAATTTTCAATGAGTAAATGAGTAACTTGCGCAAGGAATGTCATGTTGTCTTTAAAAAGCTTTGATAACGGCAATCAGTTATTTTGATTGTCCCTGCTTTTCTTTGTTCTGTGCAATTGCGCGCAGTTTTTTCATGATCAATCAATGAATGCTTATTTAATTCACTCCACGGATATTTGAAGTTATTTAACTTTTTAATATCTCTATTCCAGGATGGCTCTCTGTCTACTGGTGTTTTCGCCCGCTTCGCTCCGTGCTTTTGCCTTCGTTGCGAGCTGTGCTTCGAATGGAGACGACTCGGTCGTGAGCTTTATTTTTCGGAATCTTCCTATACAATATTTCTCAGTGAGATTCAATAGACACTAATTCGGCCTTCTCACCTTTTAATTTCAATCGACTTATCGATCGTCAAAGTTATCAGTTCAGTGAATTTAAGCCTCGGCGAGATTCACTGTTTCACTTGTTGCGATATTCGATGATGAGCTGTTGGCTGGCGTGAATTGCCGATTCGAGGACCTGGGGCCACGTATGTGGTTGATTTGTTGATGACTGATGGCATAGGGTTCACCTGCGAATTTTTCGAGAACTAGTATAATGTCGTTAAATTTTTCAATAGCAAATATAATGGTCGGTGTTGTGCATATTAACGACTTTTTTCTCCGGCTGCTCAGCTATCATAACGAGGTTAGCTTACCAATTATTCAATGTGATGAGTCTAAGGCCCACTAAAAACTTTTGCTGCTTGTAAATGATACAGATGTATAAAAATACCGCTAGTTACTAAGACTGTTCTTGCATTCGTTTCTTGTACATATCCATAGGTTTAGACGCAAAAATGTGTTTCGATGAAGTAAACAATTCAAATGTATTTGAAAAATTCTGTAATTTAATGGAATTTGCAGTCGAGTCTAATTTTGGGGATCATATTTAGCAGCGAGTTGTAATCTATCACAATTGGCTGCCCCCAGAATTGGTGCAGAAGACTTTTTCTTCAAACTTCAATCATTATCAGATGCGTATTTCCTGCGCAGATGTGTGTTTTATAATCTCCGTAATTGGCTGTATTAGTGCGTGAATTTTTATAATTGGACCGTTGTTATTGATAGGCTTCTCTGATTTAACTGCTAAGGTGGTTTAAGTTAACTAACGGTCAGCAAAACCCGGGACCTGATTGAAGAAGGCTGTTGCAATTCAAGTAGATTGAGAGTAGCAGTTTTCTTGGCTTAATTCGCATTATTGGACGAGACAATGTCTATTCAAAAGTAGGACTCGTAGATCGTATTCAACTTAGTAAGGTGTTGCTGCATCAGATGCTTGTTCGTGACCGTGAGACATTGATGGTTGTAGTCATAGTGGATCTTAAATGTAAAACTAATGACAAGGCAAATCCACAAATGTTCCGAGTTGATTTTACATTATTGTATAGTGAAAACGCTAAGAAAGGCGTAATGTTCTATGATGAAGTCATTGAGATTAGCATTCGAAAATTTTACCTGATCTTCTTCGAGGAATCCATGAGAATGGTTCCATGTTATCGATGATAACAAAATGATTTATTGAGATAACAAAATGATAAATGATCAAAACGATGATAAAATGATCTATAACTGACGATAAAATGATCTATTAAGAATTCGTGTGTTATTATTTAGTTAGTAATTCGAAGAAAAGAATTTCTTGCGTCAGTCATTAGAGCATCACAACTCACTTTCTAACTCTTGAGTTCAGAAGAAATTCAACCAATTGCTTTGGTAGTGACATTGCCCTAACGGAAGCTACATTGTATGTGTATGGAGAGACGAAGCTTTGTAAAGCCTGCTCGATCGTAGGGCAGGGGTAAATGTTGCATACATTCTGTTCTCTTCCGCTTCAGAGAATTTAATTACATTTTATCTTGAACACTTGACTACTAAGGTAAGAAATGTTTAATTGGATTCTGTTCGAGCAAGAATTTTCATTCCTTTTTTGGCCTCTAAATGACGTCCATTTAATTTTGTGCTATATATTGCTGTTGCGTAGATGCCAATCAGAATCGATTCGCAATTTTAGGTTCAATGGCTTTCTTTGTAAAATTCTATCAAGTTCTTCTTTACGGAGACAAGAGTAATTTTTGTTATCGGCAATAGAAATTACGTTATTTGATTTCGTACTCTATTATTACTTACGTTTATGATCGTTAATTAATGTAGCTGAACAACTGTTGCTTCACAGATTTTTTGATGGGATTTATCAATCATCATTCAGAAGTTTCTGGTCAATTTCTGTTCGTTACTCTTGGAATACTTGAAAATTTGTCTCTGGAATTCTTTCAAAATTCGTCGCGGTTTTGGATAATATTGCCTCTGCTAATTCGCGGGTAGGTTTATATGTGCAACTAATTTGAAGGCGGAAGAAGGTTTGTGAAATGGATCGGTATTTATAGTGCATTTTTACTCGCGGAACCCATATTTGCAATTATCGCAATAAAGTCGTGCTTCTTTGTCAATTCTTATACAATAGTTTTATTCAAATCGAAATTCGATCAAATTATAAAATCGAAGTATTGATATTTGGTTATTAATTTTTGGCTCCATATTATTGTATCACGAATCATTGTCATCTGCTTATACCGTGCACTCATCTTATCATTTATAGAAGATCATGCAGTAACTCATACAAACTGGAATTTTTCATCTCATACCGGTAGTATTCTATATTTAACTCACAGATATCACCTCAATATCGAATTATTGGACTTTTTTAGAGATGTCTTGAATTGGGGCCGAGAAATGTGCGAAGTTAGAGATTATTCCTTCTGAATTAATTCTCACGACGAAAGTCTGTTATACGTACTTATTTAATTACGAAAACTGCCAGTAAAAACATTGACCAAATTCAGTAATACCGGTACTGCAGTTCAGCTTTTTGACAATCAGTTCAACTTTTTAACAAAAAATTTCTCGATATGAATTGGATCTATTGATGAACATGAGTTGGTTATCATTCATTTTTCTTGTCAGCTTGTTAACGTTATATTTCGTCTCGGAGATATTCCTGTAAAAACCTACTTCAACAGTCATGCTTCAGTCTCTTTATCTCTGAACCTCTCTATGCGTTGTCATTTGACCACGAACTGGGGCTGAACCGACAAAAACAGACTCCTCGTTATTCATGTTATATGTCTTGATTTTCATGTGCTTGCTCATTTTCATCATTAGCATTTGTCGGGAATAGAGAAATCGATCGTTAAAAGTTAATTTTCCGCTTCGCAGTCATAATGTGTTTTTCGAATTTCCTGATTTTTCTAGCAGTATAAAATTTTCGTTCGATAGCTGACGACAATTTTAAGAGAAGATCAAAGTAGACAAAAAACTTTCTGATTATTCTACTGAATTTTTTGACACATATTCACTTCTGTTTGAACCAATCATGAATTAGATTTTTAAATGATATTCATTGGAAAAAATTGAATTTATTAAAGAAATTACCACCGAATTTAACATGCTATTTAGTATTTCTTCTTCCATCCATTGCGAGGGCACTACTTGAGATGCAAGCTTGTAACAGCACGGCCTCGGGCTGTGGGCGTCATTAATGGTGCGTTGATATGAGGTATTACCAATCATGATTCGTAAACTTTTTGTTCATGCTTCTCGCATCCAACCAACTAAAAGGACACGTTTAACTACAGGAAATATCTGTTGGGTAAATACTGGAAAAGTATCCGAGCCAGTTCTTCTACCATTCATTACAATATTTTCAGCCAACAGGGGTTGCTGGATGGATATTTTTTCACTTGTTAATCATGTCATGAAAGTTATTTTTTCCATACCTACATCGCACTATTCGAATATGAGGCCATTTTTACGAAAACCATCACATGGATTGATAAACCTTGTATGAAAATTATCCTTGCATCTCTCCTTGCTTTCACATTTGTTCAGTTTCGAAATTTGTAAGCTGTGACAGCAGTCAAGTCTCATTTATATTTTTTCTTCATACAGTCTTTTGGACTGGCATATTTCTCTAATAAACATTGAGTAAAATCGCTTGATATTTCCCTATCCCAATTGGCTACGTAAGTGAACCTCATTCCATGTCGAAAGGTTAACTCACTTAGCAAGAATTTTTTGTTATTCAAACCGTTGACCATCACTAAATCTGAAGGCCCATCATAAAGTTTAGCTCACATCACCCTGCATTGATTTACTTTTCATTGTAGAAGATATTCTGTTGAAACCGATATTTACCTTCTTCGTCCTTCAAATTAGTTATAATGATGTTCTTGATGAAGCGGTCATGAAGATTGCCTGATCTCTCGATTATACTTAACTTCGAACTGAAGCCATTGACATGTGCAGATTCCGATAAAAAACATCGACTGTGGTTCCGATTAAAGTGCGAGATTATTACGTTCATGAGTAACCCGATTTTAGAAAAATTCGTTTAGAATGCTGCTTCGTTGGGAACGTTACGTACCCTTAGTTTTATTCATTTCATGTCGCATGAAAGCCTCTTTATTTACTGTAACTTCTCTGGGGTGGCAGATGTTGAGTGAACCAATTCTGTTTTGATCCGTTGCTATTTGCAAATGATTAGTAGAATCGAAAAAAAATCAGCTTACTGCATAGTGCCTAAATCCTTTCAATGGCTCTATAGTTCATTTATAAAATCTGCTTGCAGAAACGTAATAGTTGAAATTAGGTATGAAAATATAGTAGTCGAAGAAAACGCTTCATAATTTACGAAAATGTGTTTTCTAATTTATTCCGTGTTACATCGAATGATTCCCATACCATAAGATCACCTGAAGAACGGATCGCCTGAAACTCGCTCCAGAGGCAGTTTATTTGGACAACGTCTGCCTTTGCTCCAACAGACGAGGTAAGTGCTTAAAGATATGATAATATTGCAGTTCTTCGATTATTTCCTATTTTATTTCTCCGTTGCCCTTGCTCTTTTCTCACTCCTGTGTCAACGACTGACACGTAATTCTCTGTTAAGCTACGAATGTAAATTATTATTATGTTCAAGTCATTATATGCCCCCTAGAATTATTTTAGCTTTAAGGTGGTACTCACGATATTGCGTTAACACGAGCTTTTCTCATTTTTTGAAGAAGGAGAGTTGCTTGGTTGCAATTCGCACTCCGGTGCCTGTACAAATCCCATAATTTTAAACTACTATTAAGACTTGACGCTTTCGATCAGAATTTTCAACCTTCACTGGGGGCAAATTCTGATGTGATTGCGACTAGCCTTAAGATAATACTTGCAAGTCAGTACAACTTCATCATGGAAATACATCAAATTCACTAATAAATAAGTTGATATTAATTGTACCGGGGACTTATTGATGAAGGTTTTTTGGACTTGAGGGTGCATGATATAAATTGAAATTAAATGTTATGTGTAAAAATATTACACCTATTACGATGTTATTTGAAGCAAATTGAGCGCGCACGCGTATGATATCTGGATAATTTTCTGCAGTCTTTCTGACGGATTTGATACATTTGTTGTAAAATATAAACTTTCGTACGACGTTAGGTAGGTTTATTCATTACCTTGTTCATTTTGCGATGATGCATTCACTGCAATCGCTGCTTATTAGGTCTGGACCGAGTGCTGAAAGCGACTATTTCCTCGATCCTTCTCTATCGACTCGGAATAAACTATCACTAAATAACAGCTGTTACTGGCAAACGGAGTCTACCAGACATAGTGGTATCGATGGCGAAACAGTGGCAATGGGCAGAATGAAGCGAAAATTGAATTTTGCCATGTGATCCATCTCGAAGTAATAATTAACTACATCTTGAATTTATCAAATTACTTGCGCTGACTTATGGCACGATGTCTTCTTACTAACATTTATTAGTAATTTTCTTGAGATTTCGCACTAGCATTGTTATTCGCCAATCGGTAGTTTCTTGTCTCTGGGCTGTGACGAAGTTTTTTTATTAGCTTTGGAAGTTGCGTATGAAGATCAGATAAAATATCAGTATCCTGGCTTATTGAATCATGCGATCCTAACATCAATTATAGCAATTATTAGCACTGATCCCACTTCATCGTTCATTTCTAGGGTCCAAAGTATCGTATAAATCTTCTCACGGAAATCAACTTTTTTAGATATCCCCAGTCGCTAACAAAAATCGCCTTTATCTTGCCCTAAACTTTCTTTGATAGCCAAATAGTTCAGTGTTGAGCATCCTGCTATATACCACTCGAGAAACATAAATATCTTCAATAATTGCTTAGCTCAAAATTTTTTAAAAGCTTGCTTCATGCAATTTTTCAAATTTAAAATCGACTGAGACTTGAATTCATATCATGTATTATCGTCGCAGAATCTTTCCTCGAGTTTCCAGACTTGAACCTCTATTCCCAGTAATGACAAATTTATCTGTCGATTCATTCTGCCTCTGATATTCCCACCATTATTGTTGAGTTGGTCGAGCTGTGATAGATCAGTTCTTTGTACTGGCAACATTAGAGGACTCGCTGTACGTAGTTATACATAAAGCACATGTGATCTATTCTTTAAAAAGTTGAAGTGCGTGATGAAGTATATGTAGACGGGTTTCGCGCAGCAATATATTGATAAAAAATTAAGCGATGTAAAAGCATTAATCCTAGAGATACGTATTTTTAAAGTCTTCCTTCTAGTTCGTCATTAGGTCCTCATTTCTCTCTTTTGTAAATATGTGTATCGATGTACGGAATGTAAGTATAATTGTATGGTCAGCTAGTTAGTAAAGGTTATCCACTTTCTCGATACGTTAATTATCGTCGTCTTAAAAAATACGTTGAAGTGAATGCACAATAATTGTCCAAAGGAAGGACTTCTGTAATTAGTCTTTGAAAAGCCACATCCAAAGCTATAGAAGGATTTCAAGGAAGAGTTATGAAAGACGATAATAATATTTGCTACCGAAAATATCACAGCATGGGAATTGAGCTTGCGCTCGCTAATGTTCGGTGAAACGGGTGTCGAATTTTGTTCTGCATCGACCTCATGGCAAAAATATCATTGAGAAATATATTCATAGAATCACTATTAAAATGCATCCAGTGGATTGTACGAATTTTTATTCCATATGATTCATGTGCGCTTTGCTGTTTGTTGCTATTTCGGGTATTGTGGCACCGGGGGATTTACTTTAGTCAATGATTTTGGTTGCGATTACCGACATGACGTAATACCTGATGATATCATATTTAATAGCCTCGTATTTGTCAACTTCTAGTTCGATTGGCGTTTTGTTGATGTTCAAAGTTAGTTTACCATTCAAAATCTCTCTAAGCAGACACACAAAATGTTTCGAAATCTACGGAACTTACTACGAGCATTTGATTTACTTTCAGTTGACACTAGCCATAAAAAAATTGCATCGAATATTTTCGCTATGAAGGAATTAATATAAGTTCATCTAACACTGCTTGGAACCCGACAGCTAAGAATTTTTTCACGTTGAACAAAATGTATTTCACTTCTAGCAAATATTTGAAGAGAAATTTCAGACGCCCGTCATGCGGCAAAATATTACACATTCACGTTTGTAAAACTTCATATTACAGGATAAGTTTTGGAAGCGAAAGTTTCTGTTCGGGTTATTTGCTAAGTGGCCGGTGTGTCAGAAACACAAAGGAAACACTGGGCTGAAGTTTTGGATCATGTGAAAATTATTCTTCTACTTTGTAGTTGAAAACGATGGAGAGAGCTGAATTCCTGAAAGAGTTGAATTCCTGAATTCAGTTGCCTACTACCGGAAGTGTATTCAGACTGCATGGCTCGTGCACAGTTGGAATTGTTCAGCCTGTACGTGGGGCATGACGAGGGGAAAAGTTTGGCCTTGTGTGAGAAATGAAATGTTTCTTTGGATTTAGTGCAATTTATGCTGTAGTATAAAAGTTTGCAAGCGTTGATACATAAATCGTTTTCTTGATCTTCCAAATTATTTTATAAAATGAATGTACAAAGTATTTACTGCAATGGCAAGGCAAAAATAAATCCATTCCATTACATTCTACTAAATTTTTTAATATTATCACATCGATTGACCTATGCAAAAGCTAATAATTTCTCAATTTACTCCTTGATTCAAAGTAACGTCTATCTCTGATCCATAGACGTAACTAAATCGCCCAAAATATACCATATGCGAGTCCCGCGATTATTCAAGCGATCCCAGCTGCCCTGTGAGATGGCAATCTGACACCCGGCCGCTGTTACCCCAGGTTGACGCGTATCGTTTTCTAATCTGATTCTGATTCCAATCTTCCCTCGTAATGGAGGCACGTCTACTCCCGGATCATCTTCAAAGTTTTCTGGCTGATAGCTTGTCTAAGTTACCTTGCAAGCTGGAGAACCGTGTAGGTTCTGCGTGGTTTTTGTTGGCAACAGAAATTGTGCATACGCTTGCAAAAGTCTTTTGTCGCCGTTTATTCTCTATTAAATAACAGCCCTGTAGCAGTAATTTTTCTTAAATTAGAAATATTATTAAATAAATGCAGATATAACTGAATGCTTGTAACTACGTGATAATATGATGTCGTCAGTAATCAATAGAATGAATTTTTAAAATGATAAATTCTAGAGAAACGGAATAACCAACTTTTTAACTTCATGTTAAAATCGGATTGAAGTTTCGACGAACATTTTAAAAGATTTCTTATTGAGGATACATTAGGAGAAGCAGTCATTCTCATAATGTTCTCTATGATAATCTTTCGAACTTGATAATTTGCTGTTGGACGGTTCCAATTGCAATTTCATTTTTTAATTGAATAATCTTCCTGACTGAAAGAATGATTTTATAGCTCAGCAATTTTTATTTTTGTTCATTAACTGTACTATCTTGCACATACTTGCTTTTTCAGGTAAAGACTAGCATTCAAATAAGATATGAAAGCTGACCAAGTGCATATGTAAACGTGTAACAACGCTGCAAATGTTCGGACTTTTTCACGGTGATAACGACATTTTGAATAATTTTGTTTAATGATTTACTAACCGTTCAAATTTATATAGTATTTATAATAT